CGCTGCCTATGGTTTCTTTAAAAATTATGATTTCTGAAAGGGTTAAAGAGAATAAAACAGGGCAAAGAAAGACTTGTTGTGCTTAGCAGATACCTTGCAGAAAGCTTGCAGCCTTGAGCACAGCATAGCTCAGATAACCAGAAGACACCTGGCATGGGAGGAACCAAGGACGGACCAGACCCTGCATCAGCACAGTGGCTTGCAGCCAGCAAAAATTAATAAAAACCTATCTCTCCCTGCTCTCTCCGCTGATGCCTTTCTCGGTCTCAGCCCACCTGCACCCAGGTGTCGGGAATAAAATCTCTTTTGATACATTATGGCCTCATGTCATAGGTGCGCGACCCCGGCCCACTCCGGACCTTACAGTGAGGATTTTACCATCGCCATTTCACGGATGGGGAAACTGAGGTCACTCAAGTCTGGCCTTTGGGCCCCAGGGAAAGGCAGCCACAACCATCACAGCCACTGGGGAAGGCCAGCTGCAAGGGGCCCCACCCACATTCCCAACCTGCTAACCCCAGGTCTCAACAGGGAAAGGGGTGTGCCCCAGTCCAACTCAGGGCTGGACTGACCCATCACACACTCTGATGAGACCAAGCGAGGTGAACCGAGGAGATAAACAAAGCTGTTGGGATCCCCCAGCTGGGCCCTCCCCTGAGGGAAGCAAACAGCTCAGCAGCAAAATCCACAGAGTGAAGTTTATTCCCAACAAAGTTCCCCTCCCCCCTCCCCAGCCCAGGACAGAGACAGACAGGCTGGGGCCAAGATGGGGCTCCAGTGCCTGAGGGGCCCCTAAGAAACAGGGAAGGGCCCTGGCCCCACTAGGCGACACCGAGTCTGGCTCCCCCAGACCAGCTGAGTCCACCGCACGTCCTGCCCAGCCCTCGGGAGAGGGGAGGGGGCGCTGGCTCCCGGGTAGTTCCAAAGTGGAGTGTGAAAATAGAGAGATATATGTATTTTTATCCGCAGAGGGCAGTCTGGCGTGGCACTCACACCTCTGTCTGGAAGTCGCCATCTGGTGGTTCTGTGGGCTCCCAGGCCGCTGCCCGGTGCAGGGCCAGCCGCTCTCGGGGCTTGGGGGGCAGTGAGCCCAGTGTCATAGACTTGAAGGTGCTCCAACTCTGATGTCGCCGATGTTGGGACACGCTAGGACGCTCCCCCGGACTGGGCTTCTCCTGTGGAGGGAGCAGGAGGGGCCCATGGAGATGGAGCGATACCTTCTCACCCACTGCACAGAAGAACAAACTGAGGAGGCCCAGAGAAAGCCAGTGATGCTAGTGATGCACAAAGTTACTAAGCAACCAGGTGCCAAAATAGGGTTCACATCCTGATCTGCCTGGCTCCAGAGTTGGAGTCCTGACCCCTGTGCTCTGCCCACGCTCCTCAAGACCACGGAGGAGCCCCCATCAGTGCTCCCTATCCCCATGCAACCCCAGAACTGTTGCTTATGGTGTGGGTAGGCCCTTGGCGGGGGAGGCCGAGTTTGCCCAGGCAGGGGCGGTGGACAGAGCCCACTCACCCCCACCCAGCCCAGGGGGACTTACGCTGGACAGAGTCCGTTCGGTCGCCCCACCCGAGGACACACTCCAGCGCTTCTCCCTCTGTAACGGGGGCCATGGGTCAGGGCCTGACCCCCGGGGCCACTGCACCAGATTGGGCCCTGAGCTTCGGGCAGGGCAGCCACAGGAAGAACCCTCACCTTGGCCGTGGACTGGCTGCGGTAGCGGTCGAAGGTGTGGAACTTCTGGTTAAGCTCGTGGTAGAGTTCCGAGTGCCGTTTCCGGGTGTGCATCACCTTCTGGGAGCCACAGGGTGTCAGAGGCGGTGCCCTCCTGGGGCAGCACCGTGAGCCAGCCCCGCACTCAGGGCACTCGGCACCCTGGGTCCCCACATCCCTGGCTGTTGCTGGCCCCTCTGGGACAAGGCCCAGCTCTCTCTTCACCCAGAGCTACGGGACAGGGCAGGGAGGGGATGTTGGGAGGACCCCACAGGTCAGGCTCTGCAGTGGGGCTTGGGCTAACTTCAGGAGTGGACCCTCCAGGGACAACCCCCACCCCCTCACCACACACATACACACAGCACTGACCTCAAAGTCCAGGTCTGAATACCGCAGCTTCTTCCTCTGGAAGGAGCATCAAGGCGGCCATAAAGGAGAAGAAAGTTTATTACCACACGCAGGGGCTGCCCACTGCCTGGGCCCAGAGCTCAGAATCCTTAAAAGGCAGCCCCCGGGGTTGTGGGGAGAGGGGCTGAGGCCTGGGGGGCTAGGAGATGAGGAGCCGAGGCACTACCCTGCCACAGGGCTGCAGCTCTGCCCCAGGCCACCCTGCAATGCACACATGCAGACAGACCCTCACAGGAGGCACACGCCGGCACACTCGCAGACATGGAACCGCACATGGGGCCAATGTCCCAACAGACTCCCAAGGGGGCAGGGACACAATTCCCACACGGGGCCACAGAGCAGACGCTCCTGCCTCCGTGCCCTGGATTCTACCCCTCTGCCCATCTTGCCCCTTTCTCGTTGCCAGCCCCGAGCTCCCCTCCCCTCAGAGCCCTCCATTTGTCCAGCAAACACAGGGCGAGGGTTTTTAGTCCTTTTAACCCTGCCTTGCCCCTTTTCCTCAAAAACCAGGCCCCGCCTCCCTGGCCTCCCCACCCCCTCACTGGCCTCTCTGGCCCTCATTTGCCCAAGACCCACCTCCAAGGCCCTAACAACCCACTCAGCGTCCAGTGCCACCCAAGGAGGAGGCCTTCGAATCTCAGAATGTTGGCACGGAGCACTCATGAAACCAAGGCCAACTTTCCCCGGTTACATTGGGGAAACTGAGGTCCGTTGAGGAGAAGGGACTTGCCCCAAGGCCCTCAAGGATGCTGCTAAAACACCATCTGGCTCTCCCAAGTCCCAGGCCTGCAGACATGTCCCCCACCACCGGCCTTCAGGGCACCACTCCCCTGGCTGCCTGCTTTCCTCCACCGGCTTCCCCAGCACTAGGGCCTGCACATCTGCCCCGGACCTTCTCCTGCCCTTCACCACGCACATGTGTGTTCTCCCTGCTCCCAGCCACGCCTCTATTTCTGGAGGCAGCACACCTCTCCCTTCCCAATGCCCACAGCTGTGCCCAATGGAATGAATTCGGAACCCACCACCACCGCAGATCCACTCCTCCACCTCTGCCTTCCTGCAGTTATGCACACCAGAACTTGGGATGCCATCCTTGACCCCTAAAGATGCTGCCACATTTACTGCCACCTCCCACACAAGGAGACCAATGCTGGCCCCTCCTGTGTGGTCCAACCAGAGGCAGGTGTCCAGACGGAAACCATGACGCGGGGCTCACCCCCAAGCCCGATGCCGGCATTGGGTTTGTCTTTGTTACGCCTTCCTGTTTTGCCATCTGTAACAGGAGCAGGCACCAAATGTTCAAGAAACATTTTGGGAAAAAATCTAAACTTGTGAAGCTCCTCGATGCTAACTTCACTTCCTTCGTGCGGAGGCTGGGGAGCAGGATTCTGAGGCCGAGCATGAGCAGCCAACGGTGTCTGAGCCCTGACTCCTGCCCCCTTCCTTACCCCTCATCCCTCCAACTAGAATGTTCCAGAGTTCTATGTCACTACCGTCTGCCCGTTCCCAGTGACTCTGTGCAGGGAGCAGGTCTGAGGAGGCCAGAGGGAAAGTGGGGCATCCACAGAAGCCACACAGGTGGGCAGAGCGCGGGGCTTACATTTTCTCAGAAAGGGGAGGGTCCGTTGCCACAGGCTGACGGGCCGTGCTGAGGCTGATTCAGGGATGATGATCGCAGCAATCCCCAATCATCTAGCACTTTCTACCCGCCCCACAGAGATCAATGTTTTATATCACTCAATTAGTCCTCCCAACAACTCCATCCACAAAGAAGTTGCTGTTATCTCCACTTTACAAATGAGGAAACAGGCTCAGAGATATGAATGCTAAGCGAGATCTACTGAGGCGCAGAGAGAGATTTGGCTCAACATCTCACTGCTGACCAGAGCGCTCTGACCTGAACCCAGATCTGTGTGACCAGGAGGCCCAGGCTCTCAGCGCCTTAAAGGAAGACCCATTCTAACCGTTCACCCCCAAGCAGGCACTAAGGCAAGGGAGAATGCATTGAACAGGGCACCCGCAGAGCGTGGAGTCCAAGCCCCCTTGAGGAGTTCAGAGGAGCCAGGATCCCATGGATTTGCCGTGGGCACTAACAGAGGAAGAGATGCACAGTGACTTGGTACGAAGATGCTGCTCTGGGGCGGTTGCTGGCTGACCCTTCCCGGCTGCTGCCTAGGACTTAGTCTCAGGCACCTGGTGGCAGGCCTCCCAGGCACTACAGTCCCTTACCTCCAGGGAGCCCAGCTTCATGGTGGAGCCTGGCACAGTGCGGGGCATGGTCCGGCTGCGCTCTCCCGGCTCGGGCACTTGGCGGACACTGGGCGTCGGTGGTGGCGGCTGGAAGGTCATCCCATAGGGGTTCTGGAGAGACCCGTAGGCAGGGCCCAGCCCCAGGCCCGAGTGGTCCACGGATAAGAAGCTGGGGTAGCCTTCGGTGTGGGCCAACGCCTTGGCAGAGCGTCGGGGGGTGCCCTCGGGCCGGGTCCTTGGGGGATCGTCCCCACCTCCACCCCCACCGCCAGGCTGCAGGCTCAGAGTCCTTCGGGGCAGCACCATGTAGTCCCCCTCGGAGCCCGGCTCGCCCGGCCGGAGCCACGTGAGGTCCAGCTGCCGCAGGCTGCCCTCCCCACACATGTACACGGGGTTGGGCTCCTGCGGGGGCGGCGGCTCCCCCAGCCCTGGCGAGGCTGCCATGGGCATCAGGATGTTCCCGGGCAGTGTGGAGAAGCTGAGGCCACCCTCCGGACCCACAAGGCAGGACTTGGGCTCCTCGTCCTCGTCCAGGGACAGGCGGGACAGGGTGCCCGTGATGGTGGACGGGTTGCAAGTGTTCACCTCCTTGAACAGAACTGGGGGCAGGAGCGGGAGGGAGGTAAGTTCTGGGGAGGAGGAACCCCAAGATGCCCCTGCCCAGACTGGTCAGGTACCAAGCCCCTGAGCTCAGACAGAGGAGGAAACTGGCGAGATGGCCGGATGATTGATACTCTCTCCCACACCAGAGGAATTAAGAAAACAACAGGCCCACAGACCCACAGCAAGGCAGCGCAAGGAACAAAGCCAAGGCCCAACTCCTACAGGCCAGCTCCTGACCTCTGACCCCACAGCCCTGAGGCTGTCACAGGGCCTTGCTCTTCCCCCTCCCTGGGCAGCGCCTCTCCAGGAGACAGAACTGGACAGGGAATCTGGTAAGAGCCCTGGAAATAACACTACACTGTAACAGCTACTATGTGCCAAGCACCCTGCTAGGCACTTGATGTCGCCGAACCCATTTAAGGCTCAGAGAGGAAAACTGTCTGCCCAAAGTTACACAGTAGGCGTGTTCACAGCCTTGAATCCACTAAGGGCTGCCTGGCTCTAAAGCTAAACTCTACAGTCAGACCCCTATCGGGGCCTCCCACAGTGGGGCTGGGGGCCCTCCCTTCTTTGGCCTTCCCCGGGGATCATGCTCAGCTCTGTGCCAGCAGACTCACCTGTCTGACAAGCCAGATCCACATCCTTTTCAAAGTCTGACTATAGGCAGAGAGAGACAGAGCAGGTGGGCAGAGAGAGAATCAATGTATCAGGGTGGGGGGTGGGGCTCAGTCCCCTCCCTACCCACCTAGAGGTGCTACCCAGGGCACTCCCAACAGAGCCCCGGGGACCCCAGTCTTGTCCACTCCAACCCCACTTGACAGGTTCAAAAACTAAACAAGAGAAAGACTTGCCCAATGCCACCCAGTGGTCAGTGGCTGAGTCTGAACCAAACCTGGCCTCCGTCCCCTCCCTGCCAGGATGGAGACGGTGAGGGGCTGGGGGCAGGGAATGGGGGTGGGGCATGCCAGAACCCACCCTGCCCGGCCTCGCCACTCACCAGGATCTGCAGCTGCCCGTTCTTACACGAGTCAGGGGAGTCCTCGCTCTCATCGGCCCGGCACACGCCCATCTGGCACTTCACCACGTCCTGGACCTGGGGGCAGTGGGTGGCTGCTGGCCTGCGGCCGCCACTGGGCCCCCAGCCACAGCTGGCTGTGCCTCCCACCCAGCCACCCAGGCACCCAGCCACCCAGGGGTTTGGAAGGACAGAAGCACATCCAGCCTAGGGAAGGCTGAGGGGAGCAGGAGGCCAGGAGGCCAGGAGGCCAGGAGGCCAGGGACAAGGCTGCCCCGGGCTCTCAGCTTCCACACCCAGGGTTGCCCAGCCGGAGGCCTGGCCGGGGCCTCCATCCTGTCTGTGTGCATGTGGGGAGAAGCAAGCGCGCTGGCCTGGCCAGGCGGGTGCGAAAGGGCAGCAGGGGCCCAGCCCACCTCTCGGCGCAGGAAGCAGTGCACGGCCGTGATGACGAAGCCCTGCGCAGAGTTGAAGACAGCGAAGAGGGCCTGGAAGAGCACGGAGCGGCGGTCTGTCATGGCCAGGACGGCGGACATCCAGGTGAGCGCCAGCAGGGGCAGCACCACGCAGGAGCTCCAGAGCGAGGCCCTGAGGACACAGCGGAGGGTCCGTCAGGGTGACACCAGGAAACGGTGAGCTGCGCCAGGCCTGCCCTGAGCCCGGGGCCCTGGACTGCGCAGGAGGGACGGGGCCCCACACGCCACGGCCTCAGTAACGTCCCAAAGCAGAGACGGGCTGAGGAGCTGGGGCCGGAGGAACAGAACAGAGACAGAAAGGAAGAGCTGTGGGGCCAGAGCAGGGACCCGAGACGTGGGAGGGGCGGACACACAGACACGATGGGACTGAGCCACAGCCAGAGGCAGCATCAGGGGACAGAGACGGAGAAGGTGGAACAGGGCAGGGGAGGAGGAGAAGGGAGACATTGCTGTGACTTTCAGCTCCAATTTGTACAAAATCACAGCCTGGGCCACCTCCCCAGAGATTCTGGGGGAGGAAGACGAGGACAGGGACAGAGAGAGATGGCAGACACCATGAGAGACTGAGGCAGGGGGAGACACACAGTCAGAAAGATTAAACAGACAAAGCCACAGAGGGTGTCACAGAGCACAAATCTTTGGGGAGAAGATGGGGGCCGGGGCCAGTGCAACAAGAGGCTCCCCTCCCTTTCATTTCCCCAAGGAGGGGGCCCCAGGCCCCCAGTGCCCGCTCAGAGGCCTGGGGATAAGAGCCGGGATCAGGGCCAAACCCACATATCCCTCGCCTCCTTGACAGGGAAGGCAGAGGGGGGAAAAGGCAGATGGGCCCTGCATCCAGCTACCAGCGCCGACCGCCCTCCTGGGTGCAGGAGGGCAGTGTCGCCCTGCTGGGCCAGGTGCCATACCAGCCCCCTCTGCCTCATGAACACCCCAGGTGGGAGAGTCTTTTGGAGCTGCCCAGCCGGGCGTGGGGGCAGGCACCGTGGTCTCCACAGCCCCCGAGGGCAGAGCCAAGACCAAGAGAGGCCTAATCACAGTCATAAGAGCTGCCATTGATTAGCCACCTATTCTCTGCCAGGCCCTACGCGGAACACTTTACATACATTAGTTCACACTGTGATCAAAACAACTCCAATAAACAGCCATGGGGATTATTATCCCAATTTACAGATGAAGAAACTGGAGTGTGCCCAGCTGGGCAGAGAGACCAAGCTGGGATGCAAACCCCGTTTGGCTGCCTCCAAAGCCCAGGCTTTTAACTGCTAGTTCTGACAGCCTGGGTCAGAGAGGCAGCTGGCAGCCCCAGTGACAGCGAGCTTCCTACTCCTCGGAGCTTCCCAGAAATGGTGCCAGCCGCCTCCAGAGGCAGTGGAGCTCCTGACCCTGGAAACGTGCAAGACAAAGCTGGACCCCGCCGGTCAGGGAGGACGAGACGGGTGCCCGGCCCTGGGCGGGAGGCTGGCCCTGAGGCCCTTGTGGATTTGTGCATGGTTGACATTTTGAGATTCTCAGCTACCAAGGACAGGGGTATCTCAATGACAGAATTCTCTGCCTCCACGATTCTCTATCTCCCAACTGGTTGAGATTCAATACCTCTAAAATTCTAACTTTCAGGTTCCATGACAGACAATAAGGCTCTGATTCACATTCTAACTTTCTTAGCTTCCGACTGTCTTATTCTAAGACTCTATCGTTCTAATTCTAAGGTTCTATGGCCTCAAAAGTTCTAAGGACGATGAGCTTCTGCAGGCGGAGGTGTCAGGGGTCTCCAGGTGGGCCTGGGTGAAACCTAAGCTGGCAGTGAGCACAGGGGTAGGAGCAAAGGGGGTGCAGGAACCCAGCATTTTCCAGGCAGCACAGACACTCACTCCCGATGCCCTCTGCCATCTGGACACCAAGCTTTCCAGGGCATGGGCACAACTAACATGGCGTTCCTGGCCGAGGCTGAGCTGAGCAGGGGGCTGGGGACCGCTCCACACGCTGAGCAGGGGAGGAGCAGGCTGGCCCAGGGGCACCGCTCCAACCTCGGGGGCAGCACAGACATGGGAGAAGGGGGGAAACACATGGGAAGTGGGAGGAGAGGGGCAGCGTGAGCCCCAGAGCAGGGTGGGAGGGGAGGGCAGGTGAGAGAGAGAGAGGTGGGTTAGGGTGGGCGAGGGGCTGCAGCTGAGCACTCCGAGCGCCCACCTGGCCGGCACCCTTGACGCGCCAAGGTTAGGGAGCCCCGGTCAGTCGCATGGTCAAGCCCTGGCTCCAAGAGTGGCCAGAGCCCTCCCTCCCTATCCCACTGCTCACAAGGCCAGGTCACAGAGACGCCCCCTTACCCGGCCCTCTGCTTCTTGGACTTGTCTGAGATGCCATCTCGAGCCATGAGCTTGTTGAAGACGATGATTCCGATGAGCATGTTCACCTGGGGGCCCCGTGGAGTGGGGTGAGGGAGACAGGATCACCAGGTGCCCTCCTGGCAGGGAAAGCCCCAGGTGGGAGCTGGAGCACAGAGAGGAGTCGACCCCGGGGCCACACCCCTCCCGGGATGCTGAAGGGGCACATACCAGGACAATGACGGCTGCAGGGCCCACAAAGGCATAGAGCAGGCCACCCTCGAGGGAGAGCCAGCAGCTGGGGTGGGGAGGGGGAGAGTATCAGACACCCGAGCAGGCTTCTCCCCACCCCCAAATGCCATCCCCCAGAGCCTGCTGAGCTGCCAGGCCCACATCAGCAATGAGGCCGAGCCCCAGACAGCGTTAGAGGAGCCACTGGCTCTTGCCAAGCCTCAGTTTCCCCTCTAATAAAAGTGAAGACCGTCAAGCCCAGCCCCCTGGGGATCAAACAAGGCAGACCCCTGAACTAGAGAGTTCTTAGAGGTTAGCCAATCCCAGCACATCCGTTTACAACCAGGGAAACTGAGGCTCTGAGATGGGGAAGGATTTGCCCAAAGCCCCATAGCAGGTGTGGGCCAGAGGTACAGCCTGAAAGGCCAGAGGCCCTGTCTGGGACCCTAACAGGTTCAGTAACCCCCACTGCCCACTATGGGAGGCCCACGTACTAGCTGGATGTACCGTATCCTTTGGTGCGGGTAAAGCCGACAGACACGGCCACCACCAGGGCAGGCAGACCTGGGGGAGAAGAGGAGCCAGATTGAGACGGCTAGCCCTCAGGGACCTCTCATCCTCCCAGCCCCCAGCCCAGGTGTCTCTTGTGCCCACAGAAAGGGGCCATGGCCGAAGCTGAACCTATCTTGCTGCCCCTGCCCCCGACGCCCATCGGCAGAGTCCAGCACGGGCCCTGCTCACCCCAGCCCAGGCAGAGAAAGCGCTTGCGAACAAGGCGGGTGCGCATCCGTCCAATGACGGCCAAGTAGGACTGCCAAGCCTCAGTGAGCACCCAGCAAAAGGAGGAGAGGAAGAAGAAGTGCAGGAAGGCGGCTGTCATGGTGCACACACCCTACAAGGAGAGGAAAAGGAGGGAGTGGCCCTGAGCAGCAGCCAGGGTGGGAGGCGCCAGGCTTCCCACGCCCCGCGCTGGGCTGCCATAGCTGCCCACCTGAGCTCCGCCCCCCACAGAGCCCTGCCAGGCACCCCCGTCTTCCTGCACCCACACACAGCACGACACAGGCCTGGTGACATGCACACAGCATTCAGCATCCGAGAGGCGGTCGGGCAGGCTGCCCACACACAGATGGGGCTGGCAGGGAGGGGGACAGACAGGAGCACCTGCCGCGTCACGGCCGGGCGGGCCCCACACCTGGCACTCACGGTGCTGGCCCTGTGCAGAGAAGGCTGAGGGGGGCATAAGGGACAGCCAGCCCAGGTCATCCACAGGCAGATGGCACAAAAGGCCTGGCTGAGGCTCTTCCGTGTCGAGACACGAGAAGGCTCAGGCTCCACAAATGCCACCCGCCCACACACGTGCACACAGGCGCCTGACTCACGTAGACATTCACAGATGTACACAGACATCACTCGAGTACACACCCCCCTCCTCTCCAATGCCTGCTCGTATGCTCACACACAATTTCCCACACCCTCACCCAACACACAGCTGGAGTGTATAACAACATCCATCACTGAGGGGCATACACACAGACGTACGCGCCATCACCTGCAAACACTCTTGCCCTCACCCCCGTCACCCCACGCGCACTCCGATACCCCGGAGCCTGCACCTGCCTTGCTCAGCACCCGCGACTGGCCCACTAGGATCAGGATGTTAGACGCCAGGATGGACAGGCAGAAATTGAGCAAGATGATGGAGCGTTCAGATTTTATAAACCTATGGGGACAGCAGGCAGAGACAGAGAAGCTGGCTGTCCCAGCCCAACCTGGGATGACTGGTCACCTCCCACGCCATCTTCCCAGCATCCCACCTACCTCCAGAAGGCAGCGTAGATGGCAAGCAGGGTGAGCAGCGCCATGCAGGACACAGCACAGCCAATCACCAGGGGGACCGAGGGGGAGCCCGCCAGCTCCAGGGTCTGGGGAAGATGATCAGAGGTTCAGATGGGTCACCGCAGTGGCAGGGCTGCCCTGCCCACTCCCTGTCTGGTAGAGACTCGTCCTGTGCCATTGTCACAGCCACACACAGAAGGGGACTCACCGTTGTCCTCACAGGCACACAGAGCAGACCCAGTCACATACATGGAGGCATGTTTATGCTCAGTCACCCACACTCTTGCGCATTCAACCAGATACGCACATGTGTGTAACACTCACAAATGCCCACGGCCACACACCCCCAGGCACATGTCACCACTGTGAGCACCATCCCAAGGGCACAGACTTCCATGGGCAGTCCCAGAAGTACAGCTGCTCAGACACACATGTGAGGTCACCAGGTGCCTTCCAACACTGTCACAGGTGGCCCCTGGCAGCCCAGGCACCCCCGACTCACCAGGTCCTTGGGCGGCTGGGCCAGCACGGCAAAGGTGGACAGGTGCTGGCACTGGCAGCGGGTGTGGGCTGCCTGGGTCTCCAGGGTCTGGCAGCTCTCGGTGTCCCAGTCCCCTGAGCTGGCATCTCTTAGGTGGGGGGAGAGGTGGAATGAGCCCCAGCCCAGCTTCATGGCCCCACCCCCAGCACTGGCCTCTGCCCAAAGAGGTGACTCCAGGGCAAGGTCACATCCGAAAGGCAGGCCGTTGAGAGCCCTTCATCCCTTAGGCCAAGGATGGCACCAAGGAGCCCTCTGGCCTTCCACACAGAGCCCCTGCCCAACTCACGCTCTGGAGTAATCCCAGCTGGCACAGTGGGGATCTGTGGTGCCCTGGGGAGCAGAAGACATGAGTGCAGTGTGGGCCGGGGGCTCACCACCCTGACCACCACCCGCCCTGCCACGCAAGCCCCACAGGCCAGAGGGTCAGCCTGCCATTGTGCACACCAGCTGCCCCTCAGAGAGGCCTTTGGCCGCCCACGCTGGGGTCTTCCCAGGGTCCTGCCGAGCCCCCACTCACATTAATGATGTAGGAGAGCTCCACTGTGATGAGGGGCTCAGCTGGTGGCTGTGTGGGGGGCCGTACAGTCACTGTCATCACCCGGGATGTGACGGCCAGTGGGGGCCTGGGGACAGGTTCTGAGGTCAGCTCCTGCCAGCGGGTGCTGGCAAGCCCAGTCAGGAACCCCGAAGGTGCTTTGGATGGGGGAAGGGGGCTACCGGGGTCAAGTCCAGGGAGAGGCCTAGAGCTCCGGGGGGCCCAGGATTTCGGGTGCGATCTGGAGCTCAGTCCAACACCCCCTGAACCGCAGGGAAGCCTCTGGGAGCTTCATAGACATCTTTGAGAAGCACCTGTATGCAGAGCCAGGTGAGGGGTCCCTGAGGCTGCAGGAGGGTGCAGCTAGATCTCTTTGTGGCCGGCACAGGCTCGGTCCGCCTCCTCTCACCTGGAACTGCCTGGTCCCTCGGAAGCCCCATCCACCCTTCCCCGGGACTCACCTGGGGGGCGGCAGGATGAGGCCCAGGGTGCGGTAGAGCACAGCACCAATCACAAAGTAGGAGGCAGAATCCTCGGGGTCTGCCGGGAGGAGCCGCTGATGGGAGTAGCCTGGACCAGGGGGCACTGTTCCTGGGCCCCTCCCCCTGGCAGGGCTGCTGGAAGCTGCAGAGGCAGCTGGCTTCCCTGGGGAGGAGAGGCTGAGCACCTCCTTGGGCAGGAAGAGGCGGTCCTCCGAGTGCCGCACCCAGTCCTTCATGCCCCTGCGGCCCCGCATGGGGAAGGTGATGTCGCTGGACACGGCCGAGACGGGCTCTCGCTGAATGCTGATCACTGCGGGGGGACGGGGCGGGGGACAGCAGAGACAGACAGACACATAGAGGGCAGGCACAAAGGAGAGAGACATGTGGGGGACACACACCAGGAAAGCAGATGCAGACACCAAGATCGGAACCAACCCAGAGGTGCAGAGACCCATACAGACAGAGAAACACAACACAGAGACGAAGGAGGGGAAGGAACATGGAGAGAAAGATACAAATAAGTAGTTAAATACGGAAAAGACAGGGCCCCAAGAGAGGGCGGGACAGGAGCAGCCTCAGAAACCACCCCTCCTCCACGGGGGCCTGGGTTCCACAGCCAGCACCCTCCCGCCACCAGCCTCCTGTACCCAAGTTGTCCGTGACAATCAAGGAGCTCTGAAAGGCCTTGAGCGCATCGCCCACCAGGTGAATGAAGTCCTCCACCACCCGGAGCAGGTGCACAGAGCCGGGGGACACCTGGGGACGGGAGGGAGGTAAGGGTCCAAGACGGAGGTGAGCCATGGGGCAGGAAACCTAGAAGCCTAGCCCCTCACCTGCTGAGCATCATCCCACTTGTCCTTGTTTTCCGCGTCCACCATGAAGCTCACCACCTGGAAGAAGCGCTGGGGGGCGAGCAGTGAGTGTCAGGAAGCCCCAGGGCCAAGAGCGTCCCCGTCACACTTCCCAGCCACACTTCTACCCCCCGCAGACTCTGCCATCGGGGCCCAGACTCGTCGTTCAGTCCGGCGGCCCCGCTCCCTCGGTCCTCCTTCCCTCCGGCCAGGCAGGGAGGTACCTGCACGTCATCAGCTGAGGGCACGTAGGTGGCCCTCTTGAAGGTGTCGGTGACGTTCCTCAGAATGTCCACGGAGAAGAGCAGGTCTCCGCTGTAGTAGGTGCGCCGGGCCAGCAGCTCCTGCAGGCTGCGCACCACCTGCGACATGCCCTCCCCCGCCAGCATGCGCTGCCCCTTGGCCAGGTGCTCCCGCAGCTGCAGGTGACAGGTGGGCTGCTGTCATCGGAGTGTCGGGAGCTGGGACCACCCTGGGCCCATCCCACTCCAGGCCGCCCACTGTCTGCATTGGGAGGAAAGAGACGCGGGTGGGGGTGGGGGGCAGAGATGCTCAAAGGAACTCATGGAGAGACAGAGTTGGAGAAAGAGACCTATAGAGAGAATCTCTAAAGATACTTTTAAAAGGCTAAAAGAGAAATAGCTAGTGAAGGAAGGTGCTCAGATGTACATATAAAGATGATAAGCGTGATACAGGATAGGGTATCCCCCACCCCAAAAAGGGTCAGGCGCACTCTGGACTGTAGCTCATTATATTCATATTCTCTTTCTCCCTCTCTCTCTCTCTCTCTCTCTCTCTCTCTCTCCCTCTCTCTCTCTCCCTCTCTCTCTCTCCATCTCTCTCTCTCTCTCTCAC